TTAAAAGTAGATTCGAGAAGAAAGAGATGACGGGAAGCTACTCCCCCAGTCCTGGCTGAACATTACCATCACCTGGGAACTTTAAACACTACTGATGCCTGGGCTCAAGCACTGTGGGCAGCCTGGGCATCTGTATTTTTAAATGTCCCCCAGGTGATCTGAATGCAAAGTCTGTGGCCTCCAGACTGAGGGCTCCAGCTTGCAGGGGTCCGATGACGCTGTGCCTACCGCTCTGCTCTGTGTGTCCACCCTTCTCTGAGCTAGGGCAGCAGGGCGCCATCCAAGGAGAGGGCCAGGCAGCTTCCCCCGGACCTGCCTGCAGACAGGGCTCACTGGTCTCTCGTCTGCCTGGGTCGTGGGTGCGCAGGCCCTGCTGAGTGACTTGCCTGGAGGAAAGTGGGGTAGAATGTGCTCAAAAGTGACCTTGTGCTTGAAAACGAGGAACACACCAATCCAGATACGTGTTGTCCTCAAACCCAGACTCACTCACTCTCTCCTCAAACCTGCAAAACTGCCTGTGGAACCATCCTGACTCCTAAGCAGAGGCTGCGACTCCATCTTTGTCAAGAACCATTGTCTTCATGTTAGCAGTCACGACCCTTTCTGGGCCTGTGAGTGGAGCGAGGCAGAGCCCACTGTGCCCATTTTACGGAGAGAGGGAGGGAAACAGACATGAATACCTATTCCTTGCCGTGTACTTCATATCCATTTTCACATAATCCAATTAACCATTCTCTCTATGTATGGATTAGAGGTTATTGTCCCCATTTTCCAGATGAGGAAATTGAGGCTTGGGGGGTTTAAGGATTTTGTAGCGGAGCTGGTATCTGAGCCCTATTCTCTCCATGGTTCTGTAGTGTGTTTGTGGCCCACTGTCACTGTAACCTCGGCCGGGAATGTGCACACAGATGCAGACGCTCGTAGCCTCTCCTGACACCTTTTATTGTCTTTGGTGCCCCCTCAGCTTTCCTTCTGGTCCCCCATGGTGTCTTCATGGCTGTTCTGGCTCTGCCCCTCGGCGGACACACTCACTCCCCCAGGTCTGTGTGGTCAGCCAGGGAGGACTGTATTGTCCTGAGAAGGGGTGGGGCAGAGACTTCAGCCCTCCCACCCACCTAGGGGACATTCACTAAATGGCCCAGAGCTCTCCCACTGCAGCCATTCTCGGCTGGGTTGGTCTCTGTCACCATTAGGCATTCATCATGACACTGTCCTGTGCCAACCATCTCAGCCAAGGATGGTTCCCAGCCTTTCTTGTCTCTCTGCCTCCTCTGAGATCCACATAGAGACTTGAACAGGACGTCATGGAGCAAGGGTGCTCCCCTGATGATGGCGCTCCCTCGACACAGTTGTCATGAGCGTCCTTTCTAGATGCTGCTGACCCTTGCGGGCAGCGTGTGTTACAGAGCGTGGTTGGGACCGAGCTCCCCAGGGACATGGCTTCCCATGGATGGTGCTCACTTCAGCTGGCCCTCGCCCTGGACAGTCCCCGCCATGGTTGCTGGTCATTTCTTCTGAGCTCCTCATGGTTGGTCTTGGTTGTAGATGGTGTTCATCATTTAGGATGGTTTCACCATGGAAGGTCCTAACTTTAGGTGGTTCTTAATAGCGGAGGCACTGGCAGCTGATAACACTTGTCCCCACTGATGGGTTTTGGCACGGGTGATCCCACCACGATGGTTCTCAATACAGATGGTTCTGCCATTGATGGACCCCGTCTGGGATGGCAGGACTGGTGCTATTGCCACTGAGCATCTTGACAGAGGGGAACCCAGCATCGATGGATCTTGATCTGGTTCTTCCCAACAATGGTTCTCGGCATAGATGGTCTCATCACTGAGTGCCTATTCTCAGGATACGGGGCCCATTGTCAATAGTTCTTGCTACATGTGACCCTCCTGTTGACAGTTGTTGCTACAGATGTAGCTATCCATTGACAGGTTGTGACACGGTCAGAGTGTACTTTTTAAAGGCCTTCCTTACTTGTTTGGGCAAAAATCACTCTGGGTGAAGTCTGGGTTTGCTGGGCCCTCATGTCTGTGTTTTTCGAGGACCTGGAGGCTGGTGAGTCTCATAAAGGCACGCATATCTGGGCAGGCGGCTCACCCTTGGCCACCTGGTCGCTGGCTTTCATGTCCCCCCCCGTCTCGTTCTCCTGAAGGCTGGTATTGCTCTTCAGCCCACTTTGCACATTGCCGTTCACCTGGAGGCTCTGGCAGCTGCTGGCCTGGCTGGAGGGCAGGCTGCCCAGGGGAGCTGAGCAGCCCACTGCTCACCTGGTGGGTCAGAGCGCTGCTGCCCAGGCTGATGAAACTGATGCCCGTCAGCCTGCTGGCGCTGCTTGTCCACACTGCTGCTGGGCAGCCTGCTCTCATTTTTGCCCTCCAGTCTGCGTGGTGCTGTTGGCCTGGCTGGCCAGCTGGCTCTGTAACTGGCTGCGAGAGAAGGTGGCGCACGGCTGGCTGATCTGGGCACCGGCCGCCTGGGGGTTCAGCCTTCTCTTCAGCCGCACGATCCGACGGCTGCCCCTCAAGCTGACCTTGCTGTTCTCTTCGTCCCCTGCGTACCCGCTGCTCAGCCGGCTGACGTTACTGCATTTCTCCAGGCTGCAGCTCGTCACGCTGCTCTCTTTGCTGCGGACACTTCCCAGGTTACCCCTGGAAGCTCTCGGGGGGTCCTGCGTTGCTCTCGCGTCCTGGCACAGTCCCACTGGTGGCTGGGGCTCTAAGCCAGGTGACTGTAGACTTGGATCTTGGCTCTGGGCATCCCAGGTGAAAGCATCCCCTTTTCTATCCTGGAGGAGAGTAGGGGGCACCTGAGTTGGTTTCTCCAGGAGGAGGGGGCCCTGGGAGGCTTCTGAATGTTGGATGTGGCTTGTCTGGGGAGAGAGGCTCAATTTATAGGGCTCCCCTTTGAAGCAGGGTGTTCTGATTGGCTGGCCCGGTTCCCATGGTGACGGGTTCTGTGAGGCGGGCAGGGGAGGGAGGGAGAACAATGCTGTCCTGGCACCAGTTACATCAGTGGCTGGGGCTGGAGTTGGGCAGAAAAGGGGCCCATGGCCATAAGGGGGTTAGACCTGCTTTCTGAGGGGCCTGTGGCCTCCGCTTTGCCACCTCCGGAGATCTGGCTGTGCATCCTGGCTGAGCTGCATTTCTTTAGGGCGTCACCTCCTCTTCTGAGCCTCTTGCTCCTTGCTGAGGTGGTCGTAAGGACTGCAGAGAATGTCACACTCAGGAGCTTAACCTAAATTCCTTGCCTGATCACCACAGCCCCGCCTGGTCAGGCTCCTGTCTCTCTCTTGACCTGGTCCCGGGTCACAGTCTGCCCCTTCCTCACCTTGATGCCCAGCCACGCTGGCCGCTTTCTATTTCTGAGCTCTTACCTGCTGTGGGGCCTTTGCAGTGGCTCTTCCTGCCACCTGGAATGCTCTGCCCTTGGCCCCTTGGCCTTCAGGCTTCAGCTCAAGTGTCCCTCAGGAAGCCTTCCCTGGCTTCCCCAAGAAGGTCCCTCTGTTCTCTCCGTCACTTCCTAATTTATGGGCCTGTGGCCTTAATGACAATTTGCAGTTATTTTTATGGATTGGTCCCTTATTGCTGATTCCCTTTCTAGAACGTCAACTTCGTGAGGGCAGAGGGTTGGATTTCTTGTTCTCTGCTGCTCCCCACGCCCAGCCGAGTGCCTGGCAGCGGGGGTGCCCGTTAGACACTTACTGAACGGATGGATACGTGACCGCTCTGGGGTGTGCGTCACAACCATGCAGGGAGCTTTTAAAAAGACAAGTTTGGGTTTTCTGGGACAGTGGCCTTCTCCCTTGGCTACACATCAGAATCACCCAGGGACACCTGGCCCCACTCCCAGAGATTCTGAGTTAAATGCTCAGGGCGAGGCTTTGGCATCAGAATTTGAAAAAGCTCTCCAGGTGTTTCAGTGCGCACCCTGCATTGAGAACCGCCATGCTAGGAGGCTCGGCTCGGCTTCCTGTGCGTCTCTGTAGGTGATTCTGAGTGCAACCCGGATGAAGCAGTATTGTGGAGGAGGACTCCCAGCGTGGCATGTATCAGTTGCTACTCAATAGATGTTCATTGAATGACTGAATGAATTAAGAAGTTCATTGACCCCTAAAGGGTTCACAGGTGGATTTTAAGGACTTTGAGAATCCATTGAAATTCTATGCAGAATTTTCAATTAGCTACATATACACGTTTTCCCCTAAGGAAGGAGTCATAGCTTTCATCAAATTCTCAAGGGTGTCCATGATCCAAGAAGCATAGAGATTCAGTGCAACTCTTGCCTTCAGGAGACGGCCGGCCCGGTGCTTAGCCTGTCTGTGACTGGCTGGAGAGGGCTGGCTGGCTGGCTCTGCTCAGGATGCAGGGTGCGGGGAGAAGGCAAGGCTCCTTGGAGATGAGTTGCTCAGCCCCTTGGCAGTCGTCAGCACTGTCAGTGCTAATTGTCACTGTCATCTTTATTAGGAATTTTCCCCCATGGCCTGGGGTCATTCGACGTCCCTCTGCTGTACTCAGGGGCATTGCTTTTGCTGCGGAAATTCTGATGTGTCTGGGTAGGGAGGCGCATCTCATAGCCATCTGCCTCCCTGAGCCCACAGCCCTACATTCCCCACTAGAGAAGGGACAGAGAAGGGACAGACATGGTGTCCTAGTGGTGATGCCAGATGAGGGGGTGTGACGGGACCCGACTATTGTGGGAAGCAGGGACAAGGTCCATCCCTAGGGCGCTAGGAGGGGAGGGGCAGGGTTGGTCATCAGGCAGGTAGGCTGGGGCTCAGGACTGGCTCTGCCCTGCACGAGTACAAAACAGGGCAGGTGCCCCAGTGCTGGGCATGAACGGTGAGCCCCCTGGGACTCACCTCGCTGCCCTCCGCATCCCAGGCACATTGCTCCCTGGGCCCGAGGAATGGAGTGAACACGCGGGTGCTCGTCCAGAACAAACGGCAGAGACCATGCAGGACTCTAGCACACGGAACCCTGTGGCTACAGTGAGGCCACGTGAACGGCCGTGGCTCGGCGCAGCATGCTGCTTCTGAAAGTCTCTCCTGGTCACTCTGGGAGTCTGGGTCAGGAGTCGCATGTGAGCTCCTGTTCTTTGGGTCCAGCCTTCTCATTCCTGCCTGCACCTGAGAAGCCACTGAGGGTGGTGCCCTTATCTTGTCCTTGCCCAGGCTGGGTGTCAGACCAGAGCGACCCTGCCCAGATGCTGTTTCCTGGCACCATCAAGAGATGCAGGTGCGCAAGGGTGAGCAGAGCAGCACCTTTGGAGCTCGCGGGCCCAGAGTCACCGCAGGCCTGGGGAGAGGTGGGAGGAGGTGGTCTCTCTGCCGGGCTCCTTTCTCATCCTGGCGACCACGCACTAGGCTGCCTTTCTGGTTTCCGGTGTCTGTTGCTGTTTTCCCCCCGAACACTTCTCTCATCCAAACCCACATTCTGGTCTCTTTCTCCCGATTCCCTCTCCCTCATGTATTTCGTTTGCTTTGTACAGATGACTCGTGGCCCCAGGACCTCAGCCTGACTGCACGTCCCAGTCAAGGCTCAGGCAGGAAACCTGGTTACAAACACATCATCTGTGTGTCCTGGAGATTGGGGTCTACCCTTCCCTGGGGTGACAGAGACAAAGCCATGTGTTCATGGAACCATCTCATTTCTCTCCTGGGCCTGCAGGAAAAGTACATTCCCAGCCCCCTTGCATCTAGGTGGGGCCAAGAGAACGTGGGCAGAAGGGATGTTCAGCAGTCTAGGCCTGCGGTGTAAACACCTTCAGTGCATGGTTCTCTTTCTTCCCTTTCTGCAGGGAACTTGGAAGCCAGGCCCCGAAGATGGCAGAGCCTGGGTCCCTGAGTGACTGTGTGGAGAAGTGCCTCACCTGCCACCAAATGTGTCTGTAATGTCAGTGAGCAGTGAGCTGTTTCTGTACTGAGCCACCAAGAGTAGGGATTTGTCTGCGGCCACAGCAGAGTCTACTCTACACCAACTAATGTGCCACGTGCCCGGACATTCCAACGTGTTTCCCTGGCTTAGCTTTATCTCTGAAGCTTTCCGCACTGCGTTCCGGGGCTGCCTTTCTGCCCCACATCTACCCTAGGAATTCAGCATCAAAATGCCCTGGTGGGGAAGCTGTGCTTTCTCACATGATGAGAATGGGAAGCAATGTGACCCAAGAGAGATTCACAGCCCGGAACACGGCCCAGCAGCCCCGGGCCTCAACCCGAATGCTGATCCCTAACGTTCCAGGAGAAAACCCTCCATAAGTGAGGCATCAGTCCTCAGAGTGTGACACCCCACAACCACTCCTAGCTCACTGAGGGGTTTTCTTTCTTTTCATGCATTCATCCACCAAATGTTTCCTGAGCTTGGGTTCCTTCTTTCCTCCCACAAATGCTGACTGAGTACCTGCTCTATGTCAGGCAGCATGTCAGCCCTGCCCTCAGAGATGGATAGAAAGGTGTAAAGTATCTGTTGTGTGATAATAAATATTAGGAGGAAAAGAAAGCAGGGACAAAGGGTGTGTGGGTGTACGTGTGTGTGCGTGTGTGCCTGTGTGCGTGTGTGCACGTGCACATGTGCACGTGTCTGTACGTGTGTAGGAACGCATTGGCCACAGACCATCAGTTGGAGTGAGCTCACACATGGAGAAGAGGCCACAGAGGGAGCCCTTGCTAAGGCCTTTGATTTTACTGCACGTGATTTGGGAGCCGTTGAAGAGTTTTCAGCAGAGGAGGCGAGTTTGAACAGCCTGCTGTGTGGGGAGCAGTCTGAGGCGGCAAGTGTGGAGCAGGGTCTCGCCGGGGCTGGAGCAGTCATCTGGGGGATGGGTGGGGGCGGCCTGGACCGGGAGCTGCAGTGGAGGTAGACAGCAGGGGTTGGATTCTGGGTGTATTTTGAACGCGGGGCTGAAGGTTTGCGGGTCAGTTGGATGTGGGGGTGAGAGGAAGGGAGGGGTCAGGGCCAGCTGTGGGGTTCAGGGATCTCACAGTCAGAGGCTGGGTGGCCTTTTAGGACCAGCACAGCCTCCTCCTGAGTGGTGGGGTGGTGCCTCCCTGGTAATGGGTGAGACAAGGGGCAGAGCCCAGTGGCTAAGGAGTCAGATGGACGTGGGTTCGAGCCTCGGCTTCCCCACTTTGGAACCGCGCTTAACCAAACCACAAATCAGTTGTGGGGATGAAATGCTCCATGGACGTTCGCTGAGAATAAATAACCGCCAGGGTCCTGTCAGAGCCCAGAGAGACAGCCGTGAGGAAGGCTGATGGGTCCCTCCTTCGCACACCTCACAATCGAGAACAGGGACACACGGACCACGGGCAAACTTCAGACAGTGAGAAGTGCTGGGGGAACAGAGCGGGAGGATGGACACCGCAGCGCTCCACAGTGTCATTGTTCCTCTCCATCTGGGGGCTCTGGCCAGAGGAAGGGCTTCAGACTCTGGTGTGCCGTGGTTCAAATGCTGTGTCCACTATCCGAGTGACACTGTGACCAACCTAACCTCTGAACCTCACTCCTCGACCTGGGAAATGGAGCAACAACGTCGGTAACACCGCTCCCTGGGAGATGCCCTGAGGATCGACAGAGACACCCCGGGCAGGTCTGTCTGAGTACACATGTGAGTGTGTATGTTTATATACGTGGGTACACGCATAGACATTGTGTATAAATATGACTACATACATAAAACCATATGTGTATACATACATACGTAAGTGTGTATGTGTATACTGTGGGTACATGCACAGGCATGTGTGTATAAACACAAATACATACATAGACATTGTGTATAAATATGACTACATACATAAAACCATATGTGTATACATACATACGTAAGTGTGTATGTGTATACTGTGGGTACATGCACAGGCATGTGTGTATAAACACAAATACATACATAGCCCATAAGTATCTATCTATCTATCTATCTATCTATACGTGAGTGTATATACAGATGGATACACACAGGTATGTATGTGTATAAACATGAATATGTACATAGGCCCATGGGTGTATATATACATATGTAAGTGTGTATGTGTATATATGTGGGTACACGCACAGGCATGTGTGTATAAACACGACTATGTACATAAGCCCATATGCGTATATATACACATTTGAGTGTGTATGTGTATATATGTGGGTACACGCACAGGCATGTGTGTATAAACACGACTATGTACATAAGCCCATATGTGTATATATACATATGTGAGTGTGCATGTATATATATGTGGGTACACACACAGGCATGTGTGTATGAACACAATATGTAAATAGCCCATAGGTGTGTATATACATATGTGAGTGTATATGTGTATATATGAATGCATATATAAGTATATATGAACACACACGAGAACTCATATGCATGCACATGAGAACACCTAAGTATATCTGCAGGAATACATAAGGATACATATATGTACATACACTTTTTTTAAAACCACAGAACCCCCTGGCCCTCAGCCTCACCCCTGGGGCTCTGCTCTCCCCTGAGCTCTCCACTCAGAGTGCTCTTACCTGGGGGCCTCCCCCGCGACTCTCTGAGGGAAGCCTTTCTCTCTTCCAGAGGCCCCATCATCTGGCCCCATCCTGGTGAGGGCCTGTGTTTGTTCCCTGTAGAGTGTTCCTGAGCGCCTACTGTGTGCTTGCTGGGTGGTGTGGCGAGTGCTCTGCTACGGGATGGATCCCTGTGCGTGTCACAGACCTCCCTGCCCTGGAGTGGGAGTGGGAGCTGGTGGGGGAGGCAGGGGGTGGGAGGGGGGCCGTACATGGAGGGCCAGCTGCGTGGCGGGCACGGTGCTGGATGCTGGCATGCGTATCTCATTTAGTCTCGTTTCATCCTCTGTCTGCCCCAAAGCCCAGGCTTCTGAATACCTGACTGAGCTGCCAGGCGGGGCTTGCCATGGGGGTGGCGAGAAGCTTTCCCGTGGGCCAAGAGCAGTGCGTACCTCCCTACTCAGGTGCACTTGGCATTGGAGCGTGAACAGGTGGACTCTCGGGGTGGACCTGGGTCCCTGGAAGCAGGACCTGGGACTCTATACCTTCTCTAGGGAGCAAGGCAAAGGGAACCAGCTCAGCCATGGCCTGGAGGGGTGATCTGTCCAGGGAGAAAGGTCATTCTTCTGCTGGTAGTCACATGACGGATTTTCCGCCACTTTAAAAAAAAATTATCTAAGGTATCCAAAAAAAAAAAAAAGGGAACAATAGATTAAACATCCATCATGTGCTCATCACTCAAGAAATGAGACATTACTGATATACCCCAAACCCATTTACCCCTCCCCATGGCGGTCCTGAGTCGGATGCTCATCGTGAATCAGACGTGTATCTTTATACTTGGAGTATGAAAGGATGCAACCCTAACCACTGTGGAACTGTTTTGCATGCTATTGATCTTGATGTAAATGGCATTCTTTCTATGTCCTTCTACAACTTGCTCGTGTTCAACACTACACTTGTGAGATTCATCTGAGCGGCTATGTGTGGCTCAAGTTCGTTTTCACGACTGTCGAGATTCGTATGGAGGAACGTCCTAATTCGTCCATTCTACTGATGAACATTTAGGCTATTTGTCTCTTTTCCCCTGCAATCAACATTCCTTTAAGTGTCTCTTTCGCATGACATTTCCCCTGAGGGTTTCTGAGATGGCTCCTCCCAAACAGAAGATGAAAACTTCAACATGGTTTAATTGCGCATAACGTAGGCAGCAGATACGTCTCCCCAGCCCTTGGGCCTCATCTTCCATCCGAATGTTTCCACGAGGGCCAGCTTAGGCATGAGAGGAACCACAGGGCTATCTGTTGCCAGCATTATTTCGTCACAGAACATTCCAGAATGCTCAGCTTTAAGTGAAGATGAGGTCACAAAGTGACCCACCTGGGTGGGGTGAGGGATGGGGGCGCAGGAACTGGGAGGAGGCTAAGGGGGCTGGAAGGGGGTGAGCCTCTCTGAGGGCTGAGGGCCACCAAGGAGGCACCCGCTCCTGCTCAGGGCTCATCACGCAGCTTCCTGAGACCTGTGGCAAAATAATTCTCTCGTGTTCTTCACTGTGGATTCCGTGGGTGAAGGATGGGGACGGGGAGGAAGGAAGGAGCAGAAAGCGGCCTGAGGAGTGGTGGCGATGAGAATTCCTAGATCAAGCACAAGAACTGTGGAGCAAAGTAACTAAGCACTGGGTATAAGCAGTCAGATGTGTGAGTTCAAATCCAGGGTCTGCCACTTATCAGCTGTGTGCTCTTGGGCAAGTTACCTAACCTCTCTGTCTCAGTTTGGGTTTCCCCAAAAGTAGCTTTAAGGCATGGACTTGGGTTCTGGGAGCTTGTCCGGGAGGTGGTCCCAAGAAGCCCAGTGAAGGGATGGGCAGCAAGACAGAGAGGGAAGAAGGGCCACCAAAGGGGGGTTATGGGGGATGTGGCAGGTCGGCTCCAGGCTCAGTGCTGCTGGGGCCTCTCAGAGGCTGTGTGGAACACACCTCAGGGGCTTGGATGCTTTGCTACTGGCTCCTGTCCCCCTCCAGGGCATCTACTGCACTTTCAGTTTCTCCTGAACTCAGCTGAGCAAGTTTCTGTGGCGCCAGAGAAAGCCTGGAGGCGGAGGGGTGAGGGGGAGGCCCCTGCAGTGCTTGGGTGAGAAGCCCACGGTGCTCCACACCTGAGGCCCACCTGGAGGCACCGTCAGGAGGACATGGCGGGGCATCAGTGTGGTCGGCTCGAGTTGCCTGTCTGCAGATGGGGAGAGTGATTGTTCTTCTGGTTTGTAGTGAGGATTCCCTGAGGCTGGGCCAGGCATACAGTAAGTACTCAATAAGTGCTAAGTGTCAGGGTCGGCCTTGTGCTCCCCCAGGGTTGTGGTAGGACCTGCTGGAAGAAATGGAAGCTCTGAGAGAGGACGTAAATAGACCCTGGACACGAAACTAGGTGTCTGGGCCACGATTTGGGCCTGAAGGCCCTCTTGGAGAGCGCTCCTGGGGCCTCAAGCTGCAGGGCCGAGAGCCTGTAAACCCTCCGGAG